GCATTGGCTTCGAGGGCGAAGCCTTCCGAACCGGGGGAGAATGGTGTAGACTAAATTATTATTACTATTACTATTATTATTATTATTATTATTATTATTATTATTATTATTTTTATTATTATTATTATTTAGTATTTAAATATTTAGTGGCTTGGTGGACAAGATAGCTTTTAGGGTTTTGAGTGTCTTATTTAAAGACCCTCTTCTTGGTTATTCAATGGTTGATTTTGAATGAAATAAGATGTTGTTGAGTTTTGTGAGTTTTACGAGATAGTATCTCGTTTATCTTTCCTACTCGTATGTTATCCCTACATCATTAAAGATGTCTTTTGGATATCAGCCTCCCAAGTTCCAACAGTTTTGATGGCAAGGGAAACCTGAAACAACATATAGCCCACCATATTGAAACATGCAACGATGCAGTAACACATGGCCATTATCTTGTCAACAATTTGTTCGTTCACTCAAAGGAGTTGTATTTGATTAGTACATCGATTTGAAAGCAAACTCTATTGACAATTATAAGCAAATGTAACAAAAATTTCTTAGTCGCAATTGTAGCACAAGACGTACAGTCAACATGATTGAGCTCACTGCATCTCAACAATGGAAGGAGGAGCCAATCATAGACTACATAAATAGGTCGAGGAATTTGAGTCTAAATTGCAATGATCGTCTGTCTGAGTCTTCTGCTAGCCCTTAAACTCAATATAGTTGCACACCACCCGCGCTCCAACAATGTTCATTGCCCGCCTCCACGGTGGAGATTAGAATTTGCAGCGGCGTCTCGAGGGCCGCAAGGGGAGGGATCGGGCAGACAAGGGTGGCGACGCAGAAGACGGGGTCGACAGTGGACGATCTCATGGAGTTGCATATCGTTGGCCCCAGTCGATCGTCGTCGCAAAGGAAGAGAAGCTGCGGGGAAGCACAACTTGCGGATGCTGGAAGGCACAACTTGCGACTGTGGTGATGCTCTGGCTGCAGTGTGTCAGTGGGCTCCAACAATGGGAGGGATGCTCGGACGATAGCAGAGCGGTGGTTGTGGGTGGCGCTGGGTGGGCCGTCGGCGGAAAGATCTACGGCAATGGTGGGGTCATGTGTGTGTTTGTGTAATGTGTTTGTGCGTGTCTTGTGTGTGTATGCGCGCTTATCTTGATTTGGTGTGTATGTAACAAAGGAGATAAGTGATGATGTGGCGTAGGACCCACTGGGGAGTGGGTTTGTTAGATGGGTAATGATAATGTTCATATTACCCTTAGTGAGCGTAAGATTTTAATTTTTTTTATAGCCGTTGGATCATGAAATTTGATGACTAAGATTTATTCTTGTTCCTTTTACTTTGTATTTACATCTTTAATTTTATTATAAATATTATAATATTCAATAAATGTTGTAAAAGGTTATGTTTTAAAAACTAATTTAATCGTATTATTGTTACATTAGTAATGGTAATAATATTATATTTTGACGTAACAGTAACAATATAATATTATATATCTCTTCTTTCAATTGTAAATTTATTTAAAAAATTTGGACCTTAAATTATACTAAAACATGTACCAGTACAACACCCGTGTATTACACGGTGATTGTTAAAAAAATTATCTTAAATTTTAAAATTAATGAAAAAATTATATTAAATTTAGTTTACTTTTTTTTTAAAAAAAAATATATATTGCTATATATTTTAGAATGATATGTGTTACTTATGACTTACATGTGTTATATTATATTTGTTTTTATAACTTATATCATATAACTACTTGAAATATAAATGTATTAGTTGATAAATAATTTTATTTTTCTAATTAAT